GAAGCTGAGTCTGTCAGTCCTCTGACTTTGTTTTCTTTCAATACTTTGTTGACTATTCTGGGTCTTTTGCCATATAACTTTTAGAATCCATTTTTCAACAACCACAAAATAAATGGCTGAGAGTGTGTATAATATTTTTAAGTGGTAATACAATTTCTTTTCTAAGTGGGGAGATGTGAAAAAATGTGAATATTAAAACTTGTCCAGTGGGAGTAGATTGATAAGCACTGGGGGAATGAGAGGAATGAGAATGGGTGACATTAATAATTGGAATTTGTGGAAAAGAGAAATAATAGTAGTACCGGATCTATAAACATTTTTCTTCTCTTTAACAGTGGTACTCAAATAAATGTATTTTGGCAGAAATAAATCAATTTTTATAATTTGATAGGTTAATTAAAGTGTGATTCTTAGTATGTACTCTATTGTGTTTAAGCTAAAATGAGTTATAAGCCTTTTATTTGTACTCAAATTGTCCTACAGTATTTTTGTAATTGTCCTGTAGTTTTTAATAGCTTTATAGACACACATATATGTGTGCATATGAGCACACAAGATAATATTATTGTTGAATGTTTACTGACTACCTACCCTGGGTATGATACTACTCTTAAAATTTATCTTGTGTTTTAAAACATCAGGTTAGGCTTTGATCTCATTCTTTTAGTAGTTTACAGTTGGAATGTCAGATATTGGTGCAAAACCTGTTGTCAACCCAACATAAGGGGAAATTTCCTAGGGGTTTCTTAGAAGAATTTTCATCTTTGACCAAGAACAAAACAAAACAAAACAAAACAAAACAAAAAAACCCCCCACACACCCCCGAAGAGAAAGACTTTTGCTTTTGCCCTGTTAATTCTGTTTTGGACATTGGTGTGGGAAGTGATACCTGAAGCTGAAGCTCGTGACCAAGAGGCAACACGCATGAGGACCAAAGCCACGGTCTCTTTAGAGTCTCACATACAATTGCCATATGATCCAGCATTCCTACACCTATAAACAATTTCATCGTAAGTTATACAAGAACAGAGAGCTGCAGAAGCCTGGTAATCTCGGTCTTTATTATCAACAAAGACCCAGCTTGAAATTTAAGTATTTATGTGCCTCATTTTTGACAAAGCCAATATATGAGAATCTGAAACATATAAACAGTAAATCACTGATTTATTTTCACTTCACATATGGATTTATAGGTATAATTCTTTAGATATTTTCTTTGATGCTTTTATAATATGACTTAATGTTTTTAGACTTCATTTAACTTCTTAATATACTGTTATACCTAAAGAAATAATATAAACATATAGTTTGTCTTTTACTGTTGTCCTTGGAAGCCATTTTTGTAAGGTTAAAGTATAACTTAATGTTTACCTTGAATATTCTATTTGACCTGGTTCTTCAGCTCTTTCACATGTTGTCTGCTAGTAACTATAAATAAACCATATAATATCCTCGTGAAGTGAAAATCCTAACTCACCTATGTCTTAGCACTGATGAATTTAAGTGAATTAATACTAGCTTATTGCTAGATGAATTCTAGGAGTTCTATTTTTTTTAATTAAAATTGTATTTTTTTTAATTAAAATTGTATAAATATTTGATTATGTCACTGGGAAGCTATTTTCTGTTAGTTAAGCAAGACCATCATAAGAATAATATTTTTAAAGTACTAACTGTATATAAGAGTTTAAAGGAGATAGGACAAGATCCCTAACTTCAAAGGCTTATAATCAAATTGAATATTAGAGTATGTATAATCTGGTACATGGTAGGTGGCAAATGAGTGGTATAGATAGTGGCACTCCAAGTATTAATGATAAATTAGTTATAAAAGATTTCACAAAGAAGTTAAGATATGAGTCAGGCCTTAAATGGACACAGAATAGTTGAGAGGCCATGCTAGGTGTAACACTAAGATATGTATGCTCCTTGTGTTTATTTAGTAGCTTTCTAATACATGAATTTAAATAGGGATTGGATATTGAGGGTCCTCAAAAGACAAAAAAGTTTGTTATTGGGAACCTAAAAATAGTTTTGAGCAGGGGGTGGTGATAAATAGGATTTTAAAAAATTATTCAGTTATTTTGATTCCTTAAATGATAGGCCGGGCATGATGGCTCATGTCTGTAATCCCAGTTCTTCTAGGGTAGGAGGATTGCTTGAGTCCAGCCTGGGCAACATAGTGAGACCCCATCTCTAAAAAAAAAAAAAGAGAGATAGCGGGGCTGGTGGCACATCCTGGTCATTCTAGCTACTTGGGAGGCTGATGCAGAAGGATCACTTGAGCCCAAAGAACTTGAGGCTGCAGTGAGCTGTAATTGTACTTAACTGCATTCCAGCCTGGGCGACAGAGCATGACCCTGTCTCTAAAAATAAAAATTAAAAAAAAAAATGAGAAATGCCATATGAAGTAGTATTGAATATTATTCATCTTTCCTAATGATAGATTAGACTATGCTAATGTCCCATGCATAAATTAGAAAATTGACACCTTAAATATGAGGTGCCATGTTTTTGGGAGGTGGAGTGATTCTTCCATTCCACAAGCAGGTGTTATAAACATACTTTTCTCAGCTGAATGAGATTTTTGGCTTTTTGCAAGGTTTTATTTTTTTAATTTTAATTTAATTTTATTTTTTAGAGATAGAATCTTACTATTATTAATATGTTGCCCAGGCTGGAGTGCAGTGGCTATTCATAGGTGTGATCATAGCACACTAAAGCCTCAAGTCTCAAGTGATTCTCCTGCCTCAGCCTTCCACGGGTGCCACTGTGTCTGATTTTTACAGGTTTTTAACCTTGCAAATACTGTATTTTCTGATACATATGTGCAGATATTTATGGCTAATGAGGGCTGTGTGTGATTATTCTTCCTAATGTTACATGAGCCTGAGAGCAGTGGGAAAAATAATGGAAAGCATTATAAAAATAACCTCCATCTATTGGAAAAAACAGAGTGAACACAAATGAAAAATATGAAGAGAAATAGACAAGATAGTACAGTTTCCAAATCTTATAATTGAGTGTTTCATACTAGTGATAATTTATGAAAATTTGGGAGTCAGTTGAATGCTTATCAATTGACTGGATGGGCTAAGAGACATCCTGTTTCTGTTCTCAAAACAATTTATTAATATAAGGCAAGAAAGTATAGCTGACAGTCTCTCACAAATAGATATACTCCTAATAATTAAGATGTTTATTTTCAGCTTCTTTCCAATATTGTTTGAGGGATTTGGCTAAAAGACAAAGATAATTGGAGGATATTGGATACAGTTGGAAATAAGAGAAGGAAAGAATGAGAAGTATGAATTCGTAATGGTGTTCATATAGGAAATTCAGTAATTGCTGACCTCTTTGCCCTCATGATTCCTCCTTTATAAAATATGCATTGTAAATGTAAAGCTATTGTTTCCTGAATTCAGAGAAATGTATATTATTGATGATTAGTATTTTGGAAGCCGAATGTCATCATATAGCTTTAATAATGCAAAGAAAGCAAATAGAACAGTTAAAAATAAGCAGTTTATTTTAATAGCTATTAATATAATGGAACAGGTAGATTATATTTTTAGATTATGTGCCCACTGTACAGTCAGCTCACAGCTTTGTACCTGTTACTATAGTAGGGAATTAAAAGTGTTCCCAGGAAGCTTATAGTCTAGACATTTTTGCTCTAGTATATGATTGGTGATAATAACCAAGCAGTTGTTCTAATTCTCTTCCCTTAAAGTTTTAAGGAAAATACTTATGAAAGTGAAACGTAAGTATGTGCTTAGTTTATGACTGGTGATCACAGTATTTTTTTGTTAAGAATACTCACATGGATTATCAGATGTAAACTTTTGTGTTTAGTTCAGTACTTAATTGGGACACTGGAGAATTCTGGTAGGGATGAGTGTTATTTTTAAGATTTTTTGGGTTCTTTTGGCTTTGTTTTCACTTTGGGGTTCTGCATAGTATCTCTTTCTGGCATTCTGTTTTTGCCTACTTAGTCCACAGCAAAAACTAGATCAAAAGTCGAGCTTTTCAAAGCTTTAGTCTAGGACTACTTAGTACTAGTAGGATGTTAAAAATTCCCACAGAAGTCTGTGTTGATCAGTAACTTTGGATTACATGTTTGCTGTCCATGCTTGGTAAATGGTGGTAATGGAGGAGAGGGGCAGTGAATAGTCTTGTTTCTGATACATTCTGGCCAAATTAAAAGGAAGAGCTTTTAATTAAATTGTCCTCAGTTTATTTAACTTGATTTTAACACCACCATATCTTTCTGTTAGTGAATGGTGAAGAAACCACCACATAGCGTGCTTTTTGGTCACATGTATGTTAGTTACTAGAAGAAAGCATTTTATATTAAAGGCTGTGCATTCTCTTAGTTTCCATGATCTGCAGCCTACCGAGCTTATGTTACCACATGAATAACTAATCCAGATGGCTAGATTGTTGGAGGATAGAAAACCAAAACCCATTTCAGGAAGCTATCCACTTTGCTCATCTTTGGATAGGATCCATTCTAATTAGTAGTGACTTTCTCAATTTGTTTTAAATTTTAATTTTTAACTGCATGTTTTCTTTATTTTTACCTAGGTTATAAAATGTCCTCCTATGCTTGAGACCTACAGACTACGTGTACTACAGGAGCTAATCAATGGTTTTTCATCTCCTGGAAATATATTAGAAACATAAATATGGTGCCAAAAGAACTCCTTACCTTTCCCTGACTGCGATTTATTTGGACATACTTTTGTATCGGAGAGAAGTGTACACACTGAGGCTGCTTGCTGTACAGAGACTCTGTCGTGTAGGATCATGGACCATCCTAGTAGGGAAAAGGATGAAAGACAACGGACAACTAAACCCATGGCACAAAGGAGTGCACATTGCTCCCGACCTTCTGGCTCTTCAACATCTTCTGGGGTTCTTATGGTGGGCCCCAACTTCAGGGTTGGCAAGAAGATAGGGTGTGGGAACTTCGGAGAGCTCAGATTAGGTAAGAAGTTGGTTATGTCAGTGGCTTCCACTAAAAACAACAATAAGCTTTGGTGTGTTTCAAGACAAGCAATTTATAGTTCTATAGGAAATTTCTCTTAAGTAGGACCTGTTGTTAAAAGAAAGAATTTTTGAAGGGGGCTACAGTCATTATCAATTATAATTGTTATCCAAAGTTCTTCTTTATGTGTGAGAGGTTTTTACATTTTCCACCAATTCTCAGATTTTATATGTAGGTGGATCTGCATGCAGATATCAGTAAAATGCAGATTCTGATTTAGTAGATGGAGCCCTAAATTCTGCATTTTTTACAAACTCCTGGGTGGTATAGATGCTGTTGGTCTTTGAACCACACTTTAAGAAGGGAGTGAGTAAGGCCTTGCTTTAATTCAGACTCTGCCCCTAAAAACAGAGGAGTAAATCCTTACTCAGTAATACCCAGACTTAGTGTTCAAGGATATACAGTACATGTTCAGAGAAGTTTTCTAACAGATGCCTGGAGTTCCCAACATTAGAATTGAGTTAGAACTCCAAGGAGAAATTATGCAATTTTATTTCACAACCAAGGAATGGGATTTTTTATTTCAAGTGTGAATTTATGAATGAGATGATGAATAATGACAAAATCAACTAGTTTGAAGATGTGAGATTGAAAAGAAGGTGCACTGGGTATTTATATACTTTTTAATGGCCCTCTTTTGGTGAATGGGGAAGAGAAAATGAAAAGCCTTATAAATGTGTGACGATGGAGATCAACTTGAGAGTTTGGAAAGGTCTCCTTTTAGGCTAAAGTATTTCTTTGTAGCTATTGAGACTGGATTATTATGAAGATTCATTGCAAGAAACCTTTGGCTTTTGGGGGATGAGGGGAGTAGTAGCGTAAGATGATTATTGTTTGTTCCCTCTGCTGCTTCTGATGGTCCTGTAAAAAGAAGATGGAAAAAATATTCTGATTTCCCATAGAGAGCTTTGGAGAAAACATCACTACACTAGCCTGAGATGAGAACAAAATCGAATTGAAGGATGCTGAAAATTTTTACGAATAAATGGCTAACAACCTGGAATTTAAAGACCTGACTAGGATAATGAAAGGGTCTTTTATTTAGAGTTGTGTTCATGTTCAGGTTAGCAAAGCCAGCAGATGCTACTGAGAACAGGAGTAAGATGTGTAATTTCACACTGCTTGACTTCTTAGCAATTATAGAGTTGCTTTAGCAACTAGTTTTGTGAACATTCCTTTATGTAATGGATTGATTTTGTTTTAACATCACAGTACTACTTGCATTAAATAGATTATGACATAACATCCACAAAACTATTGTTGAGAGGGAGTTTCTAATGCATGTAAATCTGTGAATTCTCAAAACATCAGAAAATTGTTTAATTTTTGTAAAGATGAAAAAAACTTTGGTCAGTCAAAACTGGAAATCTATTTAATCACTTAAGTCTCGATTTGTATTATAAGTTTACATGAGATTGGAAAAATCCATTCAGTTAAAAGGATAAATTTGTAGCACATATGTATTTTCAGAGTAGTAGAGTACTGTGTTTTATTTCCTCTAATGAATCTGGGATAATTTTGAAATTTCTCATTTTGCCTTGCCTGTAGTGAGTAGAAAGAACTTGTCTTTCTTTTCAGGTGGTTTTATTCTTCTGTGTTTATCAGGTTTTCATCAATAACATGGGACCATATTATTGCATCATTATATCTAGAAGTCATGTTTTTTGTTTGTTTGTTTTCTTAATCAGCAGAATCCAGTAAAGGAACTTTTTGGAATCATTTGATATCTTCCTAACAATAGAGTGGGCTGTATGCCCCATTCCATTATTCTCTTGCTCTGGTATTACTAAGTAGAAGATTGTACAGACGACAGAAGACATAAACTAGGAAATTCTAAACTCAAGGCAGGTACTGGTAGGCCTGCGTCATGGCTACCACCTACAAGGTCCTCCTCCAGATGAATTTCCTTTTCTAGCCACATTGTTTCTTCTGTCCCTCAAACAGCCAAGTGCATTTCTGTTTCAGAACTTTACACTTAAAGTTCTTTCTGCTTGCAGAACTCTTTCCCTAAAATTTTGCGCATAGCTGGCAGTTTCTCATCCTTCAGGCTTACCTTTTCAGGGAAACCTATATAACTTCTTCCCTACCCGCATTTAAAGTAGCACATTTCTTCTTTAGCACATTCTGTCTCATCAGACTATTTTATTAATCACATTGATCACTATCTGAAATGACCTTGTGTGTTCGTTTACCTGATAGTTGCCTTTCTTGAATGTAAGCTCCTTGGAGGGCAGGGATTCTCTCTGTATCGTGAGATGATGGATGATGAGATGATGGATAGCTAGATGAATAGGAAGGGAGGGGAACGAAAGCACAGGCTGCTTTGGGCTCCAGGTTTATGGGGCTAGTTGGGTGGTAGTGGTAGGTAGTGGCCTCAGTATTTAGGTGAACCTATGGATTCCAGACAGGGAGCCAAAAAAAAAAAAAAATAGCATACCGATCAGTGCATTTTGGTTCTCTGCAAATGTTTCTACTCTGTCATGCATTTAAGAACTATTTCTTGAATATCTACTATGACACTAGACTTTGGGAAGGATACAAATAACAAGATAAAGGTTCAGTCCCTAAGAATGCCACAGTCTAGTGGTTGAGAGAAAGAGAAAAACAAATTGCAATACAAAGTGATAAGTATTCTAATAGATTTCATAGAAGGTATGTTGGCAGAGAAGGTTAATGAGGATTTCAGAGAGGAGATATCATTTGATAATAGGACAGGATTTCTGCTGGTAGTCACAAGGAAGAAGGCCTCTCCAGCTACAGAATACATAAGCACTAGATGTTGTGAGAGTGGCCAGCATGTTATCAGAGCATCCGCTAACAGTTATACATGATTGGGTCATAGGATATGAAGTGAAAGAAAAGTAATAGATGAGGCTGTTAGGTAAGTTAGGACCAGATTTGAAGTGTTTGCGTGGTTTTAAAGCATTTGGACTTTATCCTGTAGACATTGGGTGGAATCATTAAGGGTTTTACGACAGAGGAGTGACATGATCTACTTTGTATTCTAGAAAGAGAATTCAGGTAGTTGTAAGATTTGATCAGATAGTACAGAAGTTGACATTGTATAGATTTTGCTCTAATTGTGGTACTTATCACGTTGTTCTTTCTTCCTCCATCTCTCTACCCCAAGATATGATTGAGAGGTAGTATTTTGCTTTATTTTTCTTCACATCACTAACTCCTTTCACTGTATATGGCATATAATGGGTACTTAAGAAATTTTTGTAGGCTGAATAGTCCAGATCAGAAATAGCAGAGCCTTAGGACTTAGCTCTGAAAATGGCAGTGGGATGGAGAGAGGAAGGGGTGAATTAGAAAGAAATTTTAGAAGTGGACTTAGGCAGAATTTAGTCACTAGTTGTTCGAGGGGAAGGAGTTAAAGATGACTAAATTTGCTAGCTTAGGGAGACCATATGAATGAGGAAACCTTTTAATGGAGATAGGAAATGTGGGACTGGGGTGGGTGGTTGGGAAGGCAGATAAGATAGAGATTGTAAATATTTGACTTTGAGGAGTGTGTGGCACATATGCAGAAATGTGTATCTGAGACTTAGAAAGTTCAGGCTTGAGGTAGGGATTAAGAAGTCATCATGGCCGGGCGAGGTGGCTCACACTTGTAATCCTAGCACTCTGGGAGGCCGAGGCAGGCGGAT